TCATCCTGCCTACCGATCCTCCTCGAATTTGAATTTTTTTTATTTTTTGATTTTCTTTCATCCAGAAAAACAGACCCTCGCTTCACCCCCGTCTGCCTCTACGACTCGCTCGTGAGGAACGTACAAGTACGCGCGTCGTGCATATTTGTGGCGCCCCTGCCATTTTAAGGGCTCCCCCCCCCCCTGCCTTCACCTGCCTTCACCTGCCACAGCCAGGCTCGTCTCTTCAGCCTCTTCGCATTGCATCGCACTTCATCACACAGTCGAGCTCCCGGTTTACGGTCACTACCTTTCATTGCTGCTCATTCGCGTTGCATCTCTCTCTCTCTCTCTCTCTCTCTCTCTATTTCGTTCACTCACTCTGAACTTCAATCATCAAACCTCACATCGTCAGTCCTCGTACCATTCATCGGGACCAAATCTCGCAATCAAGCCTGATCACCAAGCCTGACCATCATGGCGCCTCTGGAGCATCCCGCCTGGGCTGCCGCAGGGTCAGTGGCCCGCGACCTGCTCGCCGCCGCCGCATCCCAAGACACTGCAGCCGCCGCGACGTCGACGCACTACAACACGTACGCGCGGCGCGACCTCTCGACGAACCACACGCAGCGCGTGACCCTCGGCGTCATCGCCGCCTACACCGTCATCATCGCGCTGCTGTGGAACATTCCCTACGTCAGCTACATCCTCTGGCCGCTCAAGATGCTGACCATCGCCTTCCACGAGTTCGGCCACGCCTTCGCCGCCGTCTGCACCGGCGGCAAGGTCGTCGGCATCACCCTCGACCCGCGCGAGGGCGGCGAGACGAGGATGCTCGGCGGCAAGAGCAGCATCACCCTGCCCGCTGGCTATCTGGGCTCCTCGCTCATCGGCGCCCTGCTCATCTTTTGCGGCTTCCACGTCAACGCCAGCAAGGATGCGAGCATTATCCTCGGCTTCTGCTTCCTGCTGACCCTGTGGTGGGGCAAGCGGGACTGGCTGACCATCGTGACCGTTCTCTTTGCCGTCGCCATTCTCGTCGGCAGCTGGTTCATCTCGCACTCGCATGGCCTGCGCTTTGTCGTGGTGAGTCTCGAGCGCCCTTTTGCGTTGCTGTCATGTTACGGGGATTCAAACTAATCATCGGCAGCTCTTCATCGGCGTCATGTCATCGCTGTACTCGGCCTGGGACATCTGCGACGACCTCATCATGCGCAAGGTCAACAGCTCCGACGCCAGCGTCTTCGCTCGTCGCTACGGAGGCTCATCGCAGTGCTGGGGCGTCATCTGGGTCATCATCAGTCTGTGTTTCATGGCCGCTGCCATGGTCGCCGGCATCGCCGCATTTCCCCAGTCGTTTGAGCAGCAGGACCGCGACTCGAAGGCGTTCTTGCCGACGAGGTGATATTTCTACTGTGAGCAGAGCAGACGTGTCGAGGGTGGCGTTGTTGTTGTTGTTGTAGAATACGGATCGTTGATACCCCAGGATTGTGTATGTATGCATGTATGGTGATGCGAGGAAGCAATATGCTTGGATAGGTAGACAAGGGACCAGAGGACCCAACCAAAGTAAGGAAGCTTCAAGAAGATGCTGGTCTTATTAAGCAAGACCACATGTCATCAACCATGGCGACACGCCGGAATGCCGGGCACAACTCTCCGTAACGCCTTAGAAACCCCTGCCGGACGCGCCTGGTGGGACATATCCGGCCCCACCAGGTCCCACCGCCCGGTACCCAAGTGGATCTCCGATACCGGTGGAGAAGACGGCGCCCACCTTCATCAAGCCGAAGCAAGCCGACGATCCTCGACAACCTCAAATTTTCACTTTTTTTTCCCCCTTTCATTGCCCCATTAGGCCTCATACACGATGCTGATTGGGCTCCAACACACACCTAGACCTTCGGAGATTATCTCTCTTCAGCAGCCCTCAGCAGCCGCGAGTCCAGATGTAGAGGTGTCAAGCCCTGCCTCCATCGCAGCTGGAGGCAATCATCGGCAGGACGCGAAAGCAAGGGTCAACATCGAGTATCCGAAAAGCCACCGTGGTCTGGCATGGCATGTCATGTCACTAGAAACTTTGCCGTGCAGAAATGACACCCCCGCGCCCTTAGCTACAGTCCCATGATGTCAATCGTCAACCACCCTGACACCGCCGTCCCAGTACCAAACTAAAGGCGTAGGGCGTACGTAGACTCAGCGTGTGGGGGGCCTGATGGGGGTCCAGGAGCCCAGGGGGGGCCTAGGACCTCCTCGTTGCAACGCCGACTGCCTGTAGGCTCGTGGAACCCGTGGGGCCGATGACTGTCTAGTGGACGATGCCATGCGAAATCTCTTTCTCCTTGAGTCACCTAACACGCTTGTTACGTCGCAGGCGACCCTCCCCCGATCCACGGATGTGCACCCGGCACGGCGCCCTTTACGCCGCTGCCGAGCGTGAACCCGCTGTCTATTTAGGAATCACGGCGGCAGGTTTTTTTTTCACATTTATCTGGATGGACGGTATCGTATTTATGGCTGTTAGGTTTTCCGTGTCCGTAATACATTTTTCTCCTGTGCCTTGTGCCTTCTCTTGTGGACGATGACCATGACCATGTCTTTGAACACGGGCAGCTCGACGTCCGAAGAGTCCGTCTCGACTTCGGTGAGGCGAGCCCCGCCTCGACCCAAGATTCAAGATTTACCGGAGGGTATGGACCCGACCAAGTTCTCGACTGTATGTGTGACCTCCCTCGGTCTTGCTCTAACGCCCACCAAGCTGATGAGAAACAGCTGAAGAAATTCCATGTCGTCTTCGTCGGCACGTGGTTCACCGCCAACAGCGCCATCGGGTCCTCTCTGCCGTCCGGCGCAGTGAGCTGGATCGCCGATGACTTCTCCGTCACCAATCCGACCCATCTCGTCCTCCTCAACTCCTTGTTTCTCGTCGGTTACTCTGTCGGCCCTCTATTTTTGGGACCCATGAGTGAGTACGCCGGCCGCTCGCGCGTGCTGCTCGCAGCCTACGTCGGCTACTGCATCTTCACACTCGCTTGCGCCGTCGCACCTTCATATCCCGCCCTGCTCATCTTCCGCCTCCTCGGCGGCGTAAACGCCGCATGCACCAACGCCGTCGTCGGGGGCCTCTTCGCCGACATCTACGACGAACCGATCCAGCGGGGCCGCGTGCTCGCCTACTTCATGACGGCCACGACCATCGGACCGCCCCTGGGCCCCATCATCTCCGGCTTCGCCTCAACCATCGACTGGCGCCTGACCTTCTGGATCGGCCTCGCTCTCCTGGGCATCGGCCTCCCTGCCCTCATCACGCTGCCCGAGACGTACGTGCCCGTCATCCGCCGCCGCCTCAAACAGAAGACCCTCAAAGCCGAGAGGGCTAGCCAGGCCGAGAAGACCAGCCGGGACGACCCCGACATGCCGGCCCTCACCAAGACGGAGACACTGAGCGGCAACATCCAGGTCATCTTCGCGCGGCCCTTCACCATGATAGTGCGGGAACCCGTTGTGCTCTTCTCCTCGCTGTACATGGCGCTCGTCTACTCGATCCTCTACCTCTTCTTCCAAGCCTATCCCATCATCTTCCAGGGCGTCTACGACATGGAGCCCGGTTTCGTGGGCCTCGCCTTCCTGCCCGTCCTCGGCGGTTCGGCCGCTGCCCTCGCCATTTTCATGTGGTTCAGCGCCTACCACGCCGCCGCCCTGCGCCCGCGGCGCGGCCTGGACGCGTCAGGACGAGTACCGCCGCCTGCCCCTCGCCTGCATCGGTGGGCCAGCGTACGTGCCCCCCTTTTTGTCTCCATGCTGTTTCCTTCTTCGTTTCGCCGGTAGCTCGCGCCAGCACCGATGTCTTCCGAGTGCAGGACACTAACCCACACCCAGACTGTCCCTCTCCCTCTTCTGGCTCGGCTGGTCCTCCCGCGCGACCGTCCACCCGGTCGTGCCCATGATGTCCGGCTTCCTCTTCGGCGCCGGCTACCTCCTCATCTTCATGGCCATGCTCAACTACCTCACCGACGCCTACCGCCAGTTCTCGGCCTCGGCCCACACGGCCGCCAGCACGACGCGCTCCGTCTGCGCCGTCTGCCTGCCCCTCGCGACGCGGCCCATGTACGCCCGCCTCGGCATCGCCTGGGCCTGCTCGCTGCTCGGCTTCGTAGCCCTCGCCATGGCCGTCATCCCCTTTGTCTTCATCCGCTGCGGCCGGTCCATTCGCGGCCGGAGCCCGTTCTGCCAGCAGGTGCTCGCGCTCGAGCGCCCTGCGGATGACACCGATGAGGAGGAGGCGAGGGGGGAGGAGCTGCGGAGCCCGGGGGACGCTGAATGCGTAGGAAGCCAAAGCCGAGAGCGTGGCCTGGTGCTCCGCTCTTTGCTGTTTTGCTGACGGTGGGTGATGCATAGGTCGGAGTTTGCATTTTCTGAACGTGATAATGACGGTATTGGGGTTTCACATGGCATTTTCTTTTCCTTATAAAGAAGAACATCAAAATGGTAATGCATAATTATTAGATAGCTCTATCTGGTGGTCGGATGTACTTGCAGGCTTGGTAGTCTCTTGCTTGGGTCCTCTGAAAGAGACTGATTATGAAAAGATCTTTGACTGAACGAACGCATTGCTGGAGGTCACTTCGTTGTGTGAACTCAGGGAGGGCCACCAGACTAAATAGGCTTGCTTCACTCGCAAAACCTACTGGAGCAGCAAGTGAACACTTCATTCCCTCAAGCTGAACGAATCCACACTGCCATTGCTCTGGTTGCGTGGCTTTCCCAGCAAAAAACGGTGGGATAGCGTCGGAACCAGAGCTGATGAGGCCGCAACGCCAACATCACATAAGGACCACATCAATGAGTGGCCAAGATGCCGTGGAAACCCCACGAGGATTTCTTTCCAATTTGCCACCGTGGCGCTGACAGCCACGATGCAATGCCCTCGAATCTCGAAACAAACCGCCCGCCAACGTGAACCGTCGTCGTAAAGGGGGTTCTACTGGGCATCCAAGTGCCGACCTGACCATGATGTCAATAGTTGGGGTAGCAGGGTGGCACGCATCTTAGCCTGGATTCTCCTTCACGCCACTGACGCTTCGTGGCTTTCAGGGGTTCAGCGTCTAGAGCCCATGAGACGAAAGAGGCGTCGACCGCTCGACTTAGCTGCATCGACAGGACTTGGCGCGCGACAGTCAAACGATGCATGTTGACCTCACTGTCAAGGGGGGTGCGAATTGGAGAGCAAAGGGAAAATCGCAACTGCATCGTGCACAAGTTCGACAAATCGCTTCACTATGGTGCGAGAGTTGAGCGCAGAGCGTCTACCAACTCTGGCGACCGTCGTCTCTTCAAACAGAAATGAGACTCCAGTTCAAAGCAGACGAATGGCAACTCGTGTCAAATCACTCGCACACATGAAATTGCACCGGAAACTTGCAGATGAGTTCATGTATTGATGAGGCACCACCGACTCTATGACATGTCATGATGGGGATAAAATCTATGTCGGGCGGTCATAACTCCCAGCCCTGTCCTCTCCAGTACAGTCTAACCCAGGAATACCGTTATTGTGCAAACTCCGCCAACAAACCCTGCCACCAAACTCGTCGAACCACTCCTGTGCTCTAAATTGTGTAACGGAAGAAGGTCGCGTTGTCACCCTTCTCGCGCTCAAGCGCTTTCTCGGCGGCGGTGTACTCCTCAGGCTTCTTGTACTCGCGGTCGCGGCGGGCGTTCTCGCGACGCAGGTAGATGTGCATGAAGATACTGAGCACCAGAGACATGGTCAGGGTGCCAAGCAGCGTGCCGTGGCCGGGGTAGAACTCGGGGCCGTGGGTGGACTGGTAGATGAAGCCGGAGATGGCACCACCGAGGTTACCGAAACCGACGTGCATGGCAATGCCAACACCACGCTTCAGAGAGCCACCAATGTTGTTGCCGTTCCAGGCTACACCCTGGGGCACGTTGGGGTAGATACCCATAGCAGCGAAGAAGCAGCCAGCGTACTTGACTTGGTTGTTCTGGGAGACGATGAGGAGGAGGAAGCCGAGGATGCTGGTTGACACGTAAGTCATGGGCACTCTGACGAGGATCAAGCATGGGGTGAGCTTACGAAACGCAGATGAAGAAGATCATGAAGAGACCACGCTGCCCGACGCGATCGGCATACCAGCCGGCGCTGACGCAGCACACGCACGCCACGATATAAGGGGGAACGGTCATCAGCTGAGCCGTCTCGTTGCTGTAACCGAGGCCGCGGACAATGGTGGGCAGGAACAGGGCGTAAGAGTACAGAGGGGTGTAGATGCCGATGGTGATGAACTGTTTCAGTCGTCAGTATGCGATCCTTTTGACCCTCTCAGCAAAAGTGCGTCGCTTACCATGTGAACCCAGATCTTCCAGTCCTTGAGAGCGTCCCAGAAGTAGCGCATGTCAAACTCATCCGCGAGCGACGAGCGGTCGTGTTCCAGGCGGCGGAGAACCTCCTCCTTCTCAGGTGTCGTGAGGAACCGGGCCGTGTTAGGGTAATCGTGCATGACAAAGTAGGCAATGATGGCTGCTGGGCGTTAGTGTGTGGTCGTTGCATCTGTTGCTGAAGAAACATACCGACGACAAAGGTCAGGAGGCCCTCGAGGATGAAGATCCAAGCCCAGCCGTCGAGATTGCCAAGTCCGTCCATCTCGACGATACCACGGGCGAGGAGACCACCAAAGGCGCCGGCGGCCGTGGCGGCGGAGAAGAAGATGGCCATGCGAAGACCACACTCCCTGCGACGGTACCACATAGCTGTGAAAGTTAGCATAGGCTGGCCCGACTCGGTGGACAGTAGCTGAACTTACTGATGTAGTAGGTGACACCAGGGAAAAGCTTTGCACAGAGTCAGATCCGACAGCTATACTGTTGACAACGAGTTCAAAGACTTACACCACCCTCAGCAACACCAAGAGCCATACGAGCGGCGAGGAGACCACCATAGCTGGTGACGAGACCCATGAGAGTCGTGCAAATAGCCCAAGCGCTATCAGACGGGTTAGTTTTGACTCATCACCAAGCCAATGTGTGGCGGGGGAGAAGATTTTTAGCCGTCTACTTACACCATGATCGAGGGAATCCAGATGGAAGGGCGGAAGCGCTTCATAGCCATGTTGGAGGGAATCTCTGCCGCGACGTAGAACGGGAAGAAGACGGCGAGGGCGACGTTGTACTGTAGACCCTTCATGCCGAGATCCGCCTCGATGCCGGCGAGACGGGCATTGCCGATGTTGGTACGGTCGAGGAAAGAGAGGAGGTAGAGCAGAGCAAGGAAAGGAATCAGAGCCCAATCAATACTTGCGCAGGAGCTTCTTGGTTGCCTGGGCGTCAAAGCCGTGGCGTTCGGG